GCTGTTCTGCTGGGGTTAGTGATTTCGACGCATGCATAATGGCCCTCTCCGATCCGTCTGGAAAGACGTGTAGAATGACGGCACCGACACCAAAATTAGAGGCATCAGCTGCCACAACAATCGGCACCTTTGGGTCGTAGTGGGTAGGTAGCAGATCAGAACTGAGCATCGTCTTTAGCTTGCACACATAAAAATAGTTTTTTTTTGGGGGGGGGGTATTGATATCCCCAACAGCAAGCGTCTCAAGGAGAACAGACTGGTCGACCGAGTCGAATGCATCTTGGACATCCAGGAAAACCCCCTCTGGTTGCCACGCACCACGAGTAGTCATGCTACGAGGTGATCTGGGGGTAAAGTCGTACTATCCTCTGTGACAGGAGTGTGAAGGCAGTAAGGTGTTCCCCAACATATCCACTTTTATGGAAGCAGCGATGCTGACTCCCCTCAAGGAATGACGAGTTAGAATAGGTCAGCCCTAAAAGCCGCACACTACGATCGTCCAACGGTTGACCGTGACCGTTGGTGCATCGTTCAATACGGTCGAAATACTTTTAAAGCCAAAGAGTTTGGTGCTGCTCAGAATGCACCCGCTGTGCGCAGCCGCATCAGGAACGAGAGAGTAATCCCTTATTCCCTGCGCCCTCGGGTTAGGCCAACCCGCTGCAGGCCAGACTGTTGAGTCATAGGCACCGAGCAGGGTCCCCAAAGTAAACGCAACTGTCCGCTGCCTTGTGGGTCAGACTTTTGGGTCAAAGGCATGGGTAGGGTCCCCGAACAATAGCCCCACATCGTCCCACTGCCTTGTGGGTCGGACTTTTGAGTCAAGCGCTCAAGGTGCGGTACCTCGATCAAACCCTATTCATCAGCCTGGGCAACCGGGAAGTATCATTTGTCCACGCAGCTCGGTGTCCATCGATGTCCCTCCCCAACCCCCTCCCAAAGCACAAGCAAGTGTCACTGGGTCAATTAACAGTCAGTTATCTGACCGAAGAGTCTTATGCTCCCCGCTGCCTACTGACAATAAACAAAATAACACTTCTAAATCCACGAGATC